CATAATGACATGATAATGACTGCTTTTCTACAGGATAGTTTGCAGGACATCATGAAACATTGGTCCAGCTTAAGCACACAGGAAAAAGCACATGGCTTTGAGGTATTTTGAGTCATGTTACTTTCCACTGCATATGGAACTTGTATGCTTCTTGTATACTCATTTTAAGAGGTCTCCATTAAAAAAGCAAAATTGAATTTTGGGACACTTGAATTCAGCAACTCTCAATTCTTCATGGTTATAGAATTCACTAAAAATATTTGTTAAATGACGGAGCATGTTTCCTACATTAAATTAAGATGCAGGGTAAATAAGACTGCACTGGACAAAGCTTATTTTTAGCAAAACTCTACAGGATCACATATGTAAGTGTCAGCGGCTGTGGCCTTAGTAGTTTTTTATCTGCTCATGGTTAACACAGAACCAATCATGTCAATAATTTCATAGAAAGATCAATTAGGATTGATCAGTTAACTAGTAAGATCATAGTAGGACCATGATTTTCAAAGGCCTCTTTACAATCCTGTAACAGGATTTTTCTGCACTGATTTATTTTATTAGTTTGTATTTTGTCCTTTGATTTCTAGTTCAGTATGTGGGTGTAATTGCTTACCTCCTAAGCATTTTGGGTTCTCAGGATGTGTCTTGAACATAATAATTTGGACATAAGAATGCATCTATCTGTCTTTTGTTTTCATTTTGTCTAATTCAGAGTTTAAAAGATGCTCTTTGCCTTACATAAAGTGCTCTGAAATGGTTTTATTGCTTGAGTATATTAGAAACAGTAATCACAAAAAAGCAAAATACTTTGATATGTTGTATGTGTATAATTGTGTGTTGTATGTGTCAAAACATCATGACCAAAGAAACCCATAAAAATGAAAAATTATCACAGCACAAAAATGCAATTAAATTTTTTTCTTTTATTTGTGTCTCCACCCAGGGTGTAAACACACACCAAGACCTTCATTTATCTCTACAAATCTCTAGCCTCACCATAACAATAATTAAATCCAGACCTAAAACTCTGAGCCAAGTGGGTTTTTTTGAGAAATCTCTAAGAGTTTGTCTCCTATTTCTGTTTCTAATTATATGAATCCATACAAAAATAGGACAATGGCTGGAGCACTTATCTTTAAATGCATCTCACAATAGTATGTTCTACAGGTCACGTAATGGAGTTACAATTTTTCAGTTTTATTTTGTACCACGCACATACAGCTTTCACTTTTATCTTTTACATAAAACAGAATGTTATGAAACAGGACAAAAATAATTTACGATTGTATGAAAAATAACTGTAAAAAAATCACAAAATGACACTAGTAGAGCGAAAGGCGTAACTAATTCTTTCGAATTTTTTGGTATTTCATGACATGCAACAGACATTTCTTAAGAATAAGATTATAAGAGCCAGATATATAGTATGGCAAATTAAAATCATATGTAAGCATGTATAAATATGTAGATTACTCTGTAAGGTTTAGGAAAAACATAATCCCACTTTCTCTCCTCACCAAAGTGCTTTGTGTAAAAAATATTACACAAGATGCTGCTTTCCATACAGATGCTGCTTTCTGTACAGAACAAAAGGATTTCTTTTTCTTAAATAAAAACTCAGCTAATTTTAATTTGTGGTATTTTGCTTTACTTGCTTCAAGGAAATATATATATATATATATATATATATATATATATATATATATATATATATATATATACAAAAAGCCCCAAACCAAGAACAAAATTTCATACAAACAAGAAAAAAGTGCCATTTAAAAAAATCTGCTATAAATTTACACGGGAAAACAGGGAATAAACAGTTAAAATGTAATTTTTATACTCATTAACACCTTTTCAACAAAAGCTGAAAACAATATACAGTGTGACAGATGGCATTAGCACTGCAATTCTTCAGCATCTGGTAGTAGTAAACCACAATGCCTATATGTTTGTGTGCATACACACATAGAAAGGGAGACCCAAATAAACACATGCACTCTCATACACTTCCACTTGTACACATGCACTTTGAAACTGTATTTTAAACTCCAGTGTAGAACCATTTCTAATGCAAATATAAATAGACCACTGAGTTGGGAAACAGTTGAATTGTATAAAAGAATAATTGTAAATAACTTCTTTTGAATATTGTTTAATGTCCGCAGTCCAAACTCACTTCATCTCTTAGATATGAATCCCTTTAGAAAGTTAACAATACAGCAAGTAGAATAACAATACAAAACTCACCGAGGCACAAGTATTTGCAAATAAACTCAGTTATGCAGATAACCCACAAAATTGTATTTTCTCAAGCACCTTTTTTGATTGTGACAAACAGGATTTCCTCTCTAAATATCCAATATAAATGAGATACAATGGGGCTTTTTATGCAATTGCCCTCAGTGATTAAATTGATGCCTTGAAGTCAGTCCAACTCCAAAGAGAATAATGAAATGATAGTGAAAAATCTTCTTTGTCTCTGAATGAGAAGTAAACAAAGGCATACCTTTTTACAGACTGGTAGCCCACATTCATGTGCTTGATTTGAGTGTTCTCTAGGGCCTTCTTTTTAGGATTAAGCTCATAGAAAGCTGTAAATATATATATTATATGTATGTGTAAGAATAAATTAATGAGTTGCAAAAGTTTCCTTTTTCAAATGTAACTGATGAACCCCCAAGTTAAAAATGCCCTTTTTGAATTCTGTACTCCCACTTTCCCTTTGGTCAGCATGTTTCAAAATGTATAATCCCCCAATTCTACAGAAGAACTTGTACATTCAGATACTAGAAAAAAACATTGCAAAAATCAAGGTGATACAGATCTGAAGACAGCAACAGTATTTCAGTTTTGTAAACAGCAATGGACAGTATCTGGACAATCACGTGGTTAAAAGAATTTTAAAGAATCTGTGTTTAAGAAACTATATAGTTATATGTACATATGTATGTCTACATGTAGTCTGATCCTGCCCTTGCTGACTTCGGTGGAACAAAACACAATTCCACACGTTTGAAATGGAAGTGTTCAGTGTGACTTATTATTTGTACTGAACCAAGTTACTCTTGTGCAGTGATCAAAGAACGGGCTTTAAGATAGTACAAAATTAAAGCCTTATTAAAAAGCAAAACTTGCGGTCAATGCACATTATGCATTGTCTTTTTGATTGGACATGTGTAGCTGTGAAGGATGCCTGGTGTCATTTAAACCAATGCAAATCACATATGGTAACACCTAGACCCCTTAGTGCAAGTTGGAGCAGAGGGATACATTCTCTTGTCATGGGGGAAGCAAAGTACATGGGGGAAGAACTTAGTACAGAATTAGCTGTATTTTAGTCACTTTGCTTCTCATTGTACTTCATTTATGTGCATGGTTTATTCATATATTCTAAGTATCTGATGAAAACCTCTCCATTAAAAATTTAAGCATGTGACTGCACATAAAAATATACTTAATGAATACAAACCACGAAAGATTGCCAGTGTTCACAAACATCTGAACATAAATTCAACTATTCCATATAACTGCAGATTAAATTATGAATTTGAGCCAAATTGGTCTTAAAATCTCTCAAAAGTTTGCCAGGGGAAAATAAAAATAAAAATTTAAGTTTAAAGTTTATCTTTTTAGAAGAGTGATTTCAGAAGCATAGTTATGGTCCAGACTGTAAGAATGAATTTTTATGTCCGTACTCTGTCAGGTCATGAGAATATTAAGAAGTACACTACACAGTAAGAAATCCACAAAATGCATGAACAGGAATTGAAACCTAAAAACTCAGTCTTACTAATATAAGAGTTGTTCTCAAATTATACAGGATCACAGTGTTGTTATCTCAACTGCAAAATACTGGTTTTAACTTATAACCTTGTATGTTTTATGAGGGACAACCTAATTTGTTTGCATCCTGGACTAAATTTGAGGACCTTGAGCCTGACAGAGAAATCAAAACCACCAAACCAGTCCAGTTTTATCTCTCTAAGTAACCAGATGAAACATAGCACACTTAGAGTAGTTCTTTCTGAAAATGTGTTATGGAAAAAGACTAGGACAACCAAAATTTCATTGAATCAGTACAGATAGCTTTTAAAAAAAATGTGTGGAATTTAGGGAAGAATCTTTCCTACAAAATACTTTAAACCTTCCTGTAGAAGACTATCGCACATACAGCAACAATCTACAATCTAATTAAAAAGCAACTGAAAGTTAAAATGCATTTATGCTTATTTTGCAGATGTTAAATAGAGACAAAGTCCAAGTAACTTGTGTATTTAGACCTTATTCATGCTTAAAAGATCAGAATGAATATTGGGAAAACAGTAATAGCCATTCTTTATGGCTTAAAATAAAGAGGGAAGGAAAGGACACCTAACCTGAGGCCTGTAAGAAATACTCTACCAACAAAGAGATCCAGAAAGAAGCCACATCAATGCCTCCAATAGGTAGTGCCAGCATATATTTCTAATTTCTCTCTCTTTTGGATACTGGTGTGTGTTAAACTTTGGAACTATCACATGCAGACAGGTTGTGCAAAAACTGTATGCCTTTGAAATGTTTGTAGTATGCTCTGGTGTTGCTTCTTTCCTTTTTTCAAAAAGGAATTTTCTAAAGCTGTGTTCTTCTGTAAGTTTACCCATTCAGCTTGAAAGGATTTCAGCCAACAACCAGTTTTCTTATTTGGTCTCTGAATTCCCTTTGAGAAATTAGAAGAAGAAATAATTTTAAAAGTATAGTTTCTGTACCACAGATGAGAAGAAAAGAAACAATTGCTAAGGTTTTGGCAAAGATTGCTTTCTCCAAACATTCTCCATCTCAGTTGTCTTCTTGATTAAATGAAGAATGCTTGGTAATTGCTTTGTTCCTCTCCATTATGTATGTATATCTAGTCATATCCCCATACATACATGGCAGCTTCATGGAGAGAAAAAATTTGTAGGAAAATAACATAAGGGCAAGATGAAACAGAATCAAGTTGTAACTAGATATACATTACTTTAGCCTTCAGTGAATACAGAAGAAAGCTGGCTGGAACAATCATCCACTGCATTTACTTGTAGGAAACTGGTGTCCTCTGACATGCTGCAAGCTGAATCACCAAAGATACCTACAGACCCTGCTGGAAAGTCATACACTGAGAGAAGAAACAAAACAAAAAAAAAAACCCCAGTTAATGAATAGGATAACTATATATATAATGAAGTATGTCTTAATACTTACACATAGAACTTGAAATTATTTTAAATCAAAGGCACAAATAAAATAAATAAGTCAAAAAATATATGAAGTTAATTACATAACTTACTGGATATCAAGGGAGGAATTTTCAGTTCTGTCAGAATCAAGTCTGAAGCAGAGCAGATTTCATTGCAACTAACACCTCCCCATTTAGTGGGTGTTAAAATTGTGAACATTTTAAAAATTAACTTCATGCTTGTTTAACAAATTTCATCATATTAAACACAGGATAAAAGACAACAAAATACAGTAGTATGTATTTGTTGTAAAGTAGACCCTGGCACAGAAACTACTACCTTTTACAAGTGACAGTAGTAAGCCCAAGAGTAACTGTTTGCAGACACATCTTTTGGATAACATGTTTACATGATGTGAGATGCCTCTTTGTTTTTACAGGTGCACTGGCTTTGAAATACACTTCTGAAGGACCAAGACATAAAAGGGACTTCAAAGCACAATAAATGTTAAGTGGATTGATTCATCCTGTGTGGAAGGACAGTAAAAGATCTGGGTACTAGTTTAGTGCTAGGATTAGGCTCACTGTCTTGTACTGATACTTTGCACAGAGATCTTTCATCCTTCCAGAGCAGCATGCAAGCTTCTTAAGTACTTTTCATCTAGGCACAGACTAAGTTAAGTGCACACAGATGAGTGTACATCTAGGCAGGTTTTGTCACAGAAGTAGGAATCAGTGAAATTCAATATTGATAAAAACCAAACATGCGCCAAGCAAAATCAGTAGTTTGAATCATTTCACGTCCCTGCCACAATATGTGCGGTGGAGTGGAGTGTCTGCACAAATATCATAGAGGGCTTAATGGACTGTATTTCAGCTCAAATACACAAGCCAGGGGGTCTAAGCCCCACAGACTAGAACCTTGAGAAGCCTTCAACAGTGTGCAGATTGCACACAGGCCGGTTGTTATTGTCACCTATGGCGACTGCCAGCCTCCCAACACCAACCACTCCATGAAGGTCTGTAAACTATCTCCTCTTTGTAAAGAGCCAAATCTGACATGACATGTCCCACCCAAATACACAGCTCGTGCACATTTGCCAAAGTTTACAAACCATACACAATCATACGTGGAGTCACCAGCTGTTATTTACCTTTGATACCAGAATGATCTGAAAAACCTCGATGGAGAATGCCAAGCCCTGCCTGGCCCGCTGATGTGAGAGCTGAGCAGTCAACAGGAGGAACCATATTGCAAGAAACACTGTCTTGTATGTTCTTCTGAGTGTCAGCATAGTGTGGAGGGCAGAAAGTTTGAAGCTGCCCATAAAAACCTAGAATGAGAAGGGGGCCATCAGTAAAAGACCTGGACAGAGATACAAAGGATAGTGTGTGGAACCATGGCCATGAGAATGATAAAAACCTCAACTGCCCTACTACCAAATCTTCAGTAATTTTAAACAAATAAAGCAGTATTGATATCTGTGTTGATAAACTAAAAATTCCTCAAGTTGCTACTAATTTCAAATATAATCTGCTACATGGACATCCTGATTACACCATGACCTGTGAGAGGCACTGACTGGCTAGAAGCTGAGATTTTTCAGATTTCTCCCTGTACTGCACAATCCTATGTCTGAGCTGGTACTCTCCAGAGTCACACTGTGCATCTGCCTGAAAAATCTAAGAAAATGCTAAACTCAAAATAAAAGAAGACTACCCAAGTAAAGTCTGAATAAAATCTAAGGATCTCTCACTGATGCCAAGACAGCTGCCTGATAGTCATGCATAGAAACTCTGAGCAAAATTTTTTTATGATGGAAAGAGAGCATAGAAAAGTAATACAACTTTCCTAGATACAAGTTCTTTTCACAATTCAGTGTCAATTCCTCATTTTTAAAATAGAGAGTCATAACCAAGAAATAAGCATGTGTAGTTCTCTTCCCCTAGGTATTTAGCATTATTCTAAATGTCTTTGTGTGCAACTGCAGTGCATCAAGCCACACTGCAGAGGTCTTAGAACTGAAGCCCAACATGACACAGCAAAATCTCCTAACTTGGTGTCTTTATTCACAAAATGTCATGCCCAAGGTCATTTACAGTACAGCTGAATGAAATATGAAACCATGTCCAATTCAGGCAGTAGACCCTGACCATACTTGAGGTATCTGTTAGGGAACTAACTGTACCATCAGTTTTCTTTGTCTTCACACAGCACTGGAAAAACTGAAAAAAAGACAAACATGTTTGCTAATAAAGTTCCAGCAACTGAATGTGTCAGCTGCAATTCTGGATTGTATAAATTTGTCTCTTATTAAACTGTTAAGTTTACATCATCTGTGTTTCTTTGAATCAGTACATTACAGCCAAGACTTACGATGTCAAGGTACAGAAAAAACAGCTACTTTTCTGACATGACAGCATTACTTCCTTGGGAAAGTGTAATATTTTTCGATATGATAAAAGCTGTAAGCTCTAAGAATTGCTTCTAAAAGCAAGAAGTTCTTGGTTTTTTATCACTTAAAAAGCCTTGTCCTGAGAGATGCTGAACATCTAAAAAGCCCTGGCAGACCACTTAGCTCAAATTCACATGTGCAGTTGTGGTCCACATACATTTGTAATATCATCCTTATCCTATTCAATTGTAGGCAAAGATTTAATTATAGATATGTAATGAATGACTGCCACAATTATAATTTCCATATGGTAGGAAGTTTCTGATGGACATCTATTGCCTCCTCAGTCATCTCTCTGCCTGTCACAGGAAAGAGAATATTTTCTCAAGAAAATCATTATAGTTGCCATTCAGAAATATATGCCATGCATGAGTAGCCTTTGATGCTATGGCATGTAGAAATTTCAGCTGTCTTTGGTCTGAAATACTTCAAGATAGTGTTTCTTTGTGGTATATTTCTGCATGTCCACTAGACAAATTACACAAACACCAAGTAATCATGTTGTACCATCTGGCTGTGAAGAACAAAAGGAAAAGAGAGAGTAAGAGAGAGATCCAAGTCACATACTGTACTAACAGACTAATTTGCAAAAGTGAAAAAATAGAAATGTTTCTGCTTATTAAAATCTTATTTGTAATTTAAAGATAGGTGTTACTAGTAGATCTGTCTGTATAGAGGCACTAGTACAACTAACTCATATCAGCTAATAATTTTTTTAAAGAAATAACAATTTATTATTTTCTTTAAATGAACACTGCATTTTTTTTTTATTTCTTCCATGACTCAGACAGCTCTGATCATCAGCTTAACTCACATATATAAGCAGAGTCTTAAAGGACAACTAGATATCTAGTGCAAAAATATTCACAGTATCAGACTCATCCAAAAGCAAGTCAGCTTTTCCCATGCCCAAAAAGGTTTTACGTTACTCTATACTACAAGCACAATAAATTTTTTCACTGCAAAGAGGGAACTTCTGTTGTTGTTCTTTCCTTTCGCACCTAGCACATCTCTTCTGGCTTTTCTCAGAGCAAGCAATACTTACTCTTGCAGCTGCCTGTGTACTGTAGGTGCCTGTATCTTCAGACACCTCTCCTGAGAGAGGTAGTTTTCCATGGTTGAGAAGAACCGCTAGTACAATACAGGTGGCTAGGACAATTGTTGCAGATTTCCAGCGCCTGCACTGTCTTCTGTCTACAAACACATATTACATTAGCATACAACCGCATCTAGCTGAGAAGTTGTTATTCCAGTCTCCAGGTCAGGATAGTTTCAGATTTATGGAATGGTAATACAGTAAAAGATGCTACAACCTAATGAAAGGAAACTAAGAGCTTCACTTCTGCAGCTCAGTGAGGCATCTAACATCATCGCTTCCAAACATTCCATGGAGCAAAGGATATTGTGAATTTCAGAAGACCAAGAAAAGGGAATATTTAGTCAATTATGTAATATTAACTGAGGCGATAGAAAACACTCTCTGACATTACTGTGTATGCTGAAAATCGCTCAGAACAAATAATAAAACTTGAACTGTAGACAATGAAAGAAAAAGACATTTTGCAATACAAATAGCTATTAGATAAAAGAAGGCTGTCCGTCTTGATATTTCTCTCTAAAAGATAGTACTCTGAGATCACCATGATCTTTTAAGATGTTCAGGCTTTCAGAAATTGCATCTGTTTAGAACTTGTTTTCTTCAAAAAGCTTTTGGGCAATGAAACTCCTTCTTCCTTGATAAAGCTAATTTGAATAGAACTGAAAAGCTTAAGACTACATACTGAGGCAAATTGTCACCATTGTCTAGTAGCATATTGAGCTGAAGTGGCTATAGTTACAGCACTTTAAATCTTGAAAAGGCAGGTTATGAACTGCAGGAGATAGAAATTAACAGAACTTCCCACAGCCACTTCTTGTATACATAGTAGTATGGTATGGCGATAACTCCATGGTGTTTTTCTGCATTGTAATGAACTGACCAAGGAAGACAGCAGTCTTTGTGTTGGTATTGGAAAAACATGAACTCTTGAAACATCTGCTTTTGAGAGAGTTTAGGCAAGCCTTGAAGGCACACAGGACAATGTTTTCAGTGTGGAATATAGGATGAGACAGCTGTGCTTAAGCTGGAAGGAGTATATTCTGACAAAATACCTTGTACAGTGACAATAGGTTACTTCATCTTTGTAAAGACATTTAATACCCACATTATGGGTATTGAATTGCACTGTATTATATTTCAATACTAAAAAAAATAATTAAATGTTCATTCTACATTGTCTTTATATCAGTTTTAAGTGCAAAGATCTTTAAAATTTGAACTTTGAGTTGTTATCTGTGTGCAAATAATTCCTGTCAGCAGTGTCTATTTTCAACATAGGCTTTCCTGGGAGAGTGAGGCAGACACAGTAATGCTAACGTGGGTCCAAGCCTCTGAAAGCCAACCATTTTTTGACCTCAGAAGATAGTATTAAACTGTATCTTAAACTTGGATGTGTAATAGGGCTTCAACTCAAATGTGACATTCGCTCAGATGAGGGTCTGTACTGGGCCTTCTTCTTGTAAGGAATATTTTGTCCTTTTAAATCCTCTTTTGACTGTAGGAGAGGGAGATGGGAACACAGTAGCATTGTTCTGGCCTGTCCTGAAGAGAAGATGCCCAGACAGATACAAAGGTTGCTGCACAAGCCAGTGCAAGCCCTGCGTGGAGCAACAATTAATCCAGGGTGATTTGTGAACTCCTTGGAGGCAGGATTCTGTGGAAAGTCTTCTACTTTAGAGCAACTGGTTGTGCTCACAGCTTCTAGGATTCCTAAAATTTCCATGGCCATGAGAGGAAGAAGGTGGTAAAGCCATCTGTATAATTGAAAGACAAGTTTTGGTCCTGGCAGAAGACAGACCTTAATGTCTTGATGCCTTTCCAGAAGATGAGTTCTTGCCAAATGTTCAGAAAAAAAATAAATAAATGTTTTGTACTGTGGAAAGAGAAGGGCTAACCTGAATGTTCCTGAGAAGGACAAGCTTCAAGCCTTGCACTAGGAATTTACTGGACCTGTTCTGGCATGTTTTCACATATGTCATATGACAATGAACTGTTTATTAAGAAATTTCACCCTGTACTCTGTTAGCCATACATTATTAGTGAAATATCGGAGAATATAGAAAGCCAACGATAATTGCTTACGCCCATTGGGAAATTTCATGTTCTTCTAGTACTGATCAGTGATGTAAGGAATTACTACTTTGTGGAGAAAACCACCTGCCTCAGATCCTGCTGCTCTACGGCCAGTTCAATATGAAGAATGTAACAGGATTGGCACTTTCCTTTCTCTCCTTCACTTTTATGAACTCAGGGAGATGCCAGTTTCTTCTCTTTGTTTCTAGAGAGACTACTTACATCAGTGGAAGAAAATAGAAGAAGCCTTGTGTTGTTGTTTGACACTGGCCTAACGTCAGGCACCCACAAGAGCTCACCCTCCCCTGCTACAGCTCAGCAGCGGAAGGAAAAAGGGAAAAAAGTTAATGAAGGGCTCAGGAATGAGATAAGGCAGAAAACACTTCAAGGGAAAAACAGGCTCAACTTAAGGTTGCAAAGTGAAATTTATTACTAACAGAATCAGAGAAGGATAATGAGAAGTAAAATGAGCCCTTAAAACTTTTCCCCCCCCTCCCAGTACCTCCTTCCTTCTCACCAACAATGCAGGGAGACAGAGCATGGGGGTTTTGGTTATTTCATCACCTGAGGTTTTCTTCCACTGTTCAGGGTGAGGAATCCTTCCCCTGTGAGACCATGGGGTCCCTCCCATGGGACACAGTTTTTCATGAACTTCTTTGATGTGGTTCCAATCTCATGAGCAGCAGTCCTCCCAAAACTGCTGCGGTGTGGGTCACGCCTCCATGGGGAACTGCCCTCCAAGGACAGGCTGCTCCAGCCTGGAAGCAGGGACCCCTCTCTCCATCGAGTCTTCCACAGGACCACAGCCTCCTCCAGACATCCACCCTCTCTGGCATGGGCACCTTCCCCAGGGGCTGCAGGTGGATCTCTGCATCCCCTGTGGATCCCCATGGGCTGCAGGGGCACAGCTGCTTCACCATGGTCTCACCACAGCCTGCAGAGGAATCTTGGCTCCAGCACCTGGAGCACCTCCCCCCCTCCTTCTCCACTGACCTTGGTGACTCCATGTTGTTCCCCTCACATGTTCTCACCTCCTCCTCTTCTCTGACTAGAAGCAAAACTGTGTGTCTACTTTGTTTTTTATTTTCTTCTTAAATCTTTTATCACAGAGGTGTTATATCTCTAATTGGCTCAGCCTTGGCCAGCAGCCTGTCCACCTTCAGAGCCATCAGGGATTGGCTCTGCTGGACATGGTGGAAGCTTCAGCAGTTTCTCACAGGAGCCACCTCTGTGGCCCCGCTGCTACCAAAAACCAGGCTGTGCCAAACCAATACACCTTGCTCTTCCCAGGATGTTTCCTGTGATACCTACAAGGATAATTCTGAGGAAGCCTGATCAATAAGCAGAATCCTAAGATGTTTAAAAGTCCAGTCTGCTATGTACCTTGTGTCTATAACTGAGAGGAAACAACAGTACTTCTGTCAACACAGTCCTGAAATGTTAAGGTAATTAGCATTCAGTTTCCATACCAGCCAGGAAAAACAAACAAACAAAACAACCCACGAGTTGTTAATTTTCTTCTGGGCTACAGAAGAAATGCACAGGATTGAAGAGAGAGAGAGAGAGAGGTCTTCTACATAGAAGCTGATTACACAGCACAAGTGGGAACACAGCTGCAAGGGTCTTCATGCTTACAGAAGAGTTCTCCATCTCTCTGCAAGTACATGGGAGAAAAATATCCTACCTCTTGAAAACCTAGTTAAGTTACTTGCTAAATCAGGAGGGATTAGAGGTGTAACAATAGAAAATTAAAAGTTATCACAGATTTTTTTGCCATTCTGTTTCAGGAGCAGCACTGAAAATCAGTCTGAAGAGAAACCAGGATGAATAACAACTAGCTAAGGTAAGAATTTTCAAGAAGTCTGAATGCATGGCTCTGAAGGCTACTTCCCAGGGTCTTTCAAGGAAAAGTACCTTAAAAATATCAGTGCCAGTCCCTGGAGCACTTAATTTAAAGATAAGCAATAGCAACAAACAACTAACATCAATGATGAAGATTCTTCCTTCTTACCCTGGATGTGAAGGGCATTTGGCTGAAAAGTAGGGCTTTCTGCTGATTGGTATGTCTTCAGAGGCATCCCTGCAAGCTGTGGAAGCTGAGGAGGTTGTAGAGCCTGTCTCTGCATCATGGGCTGTTGAATGCACATTCCCTGGGGGCTGATGTGATGAGGAGAAGGAGCTGGAGCAACAAACCTAGAAGTTCAAAACCACAAAGCTGTAATATCTCCAATACATAAGAGATAAAGACTGTTTTTACTTTATTTACACCACTTTAGTTATTTGCATAGATACAGACTTCTGAAATAACAGTGTGCAGCCCAAATAAAGATGACATATTTTTAAATGGTGACATATCATTAGACTTGACATCTGGGAAATTAGCAGGCTGAATTGCCCCTTATCATGGAAAACTACTTTTGACCCACTCCTTCTCTGCATTTGTCTAAGTCATAATTGGAGGAGATGCCTCAAGGGGGACCTCATTTTGGAGGCATTGCCAGTTGTTTATTGTAAGGCTTTGTATTTATTTATCAATGAATAGCTGCCCTTCCTCACTGACAGTGAGAGATCAGTTCAGGTCATTGGTCACTGAAGAGTCAGGTGTTAGGTTCAGGCCCAGGTTTCAGGCTCTAGAAATTTTCGTATGTTACATAGAGCTATTTGAAAATAAATAGTTTGATGTCAATATAATGCAGGTAAGGGCAAGTGTTTAATTGCTTCCAGAATCTGACCACATCAAAATGCTGATCTGGACTCAAACTTTAAACTTTCCTGGCAGAAGAAAGAATGCTTGAGAACAAATCTGGTGGTGCAGCTGCCACAGAGGTTCATCACCTCAGTGGTATGTTTTGCACAGCTCTGTCACTACTGGCACTTCAAGGGTATGAACTACTTTTTAAGATTTTACACTAGAGTTTTATGGAATTTAACTTTTTACTGATTTTCTTCTGCATTTTCCTAAAACTGCATATGTCAAAGTACATCACAGATAGGTCATGCAATCTTTTTTGCAGACAGAAAGCTGCAATTTTAAGAACTTCTGTCTGTGCCCCAAACCACCCAAAAGACTGATGGGATCTGGCTAGTTAATGAAAGCTCAGGAATGGCTCTGGACCACTTTTTCATCAATGAGAGGAGAGCTGGAACATTCACAACACCAAAAAAAGAACCATGATATTTCTGCAAGAGGGTGAGTGGAAAGGGATGTGGTAATCCTGTTGCAGATCAGCCTGTCTCTCCACCACTAAAAATAAGCTGCAAGTCTGCTGAGGAGGAATATTTTTCTCTGTGTGTTCACTGGCTGCTGCTAGAAGAGAGTGCCTGCACTTAACATAATCTGCCTGTGCTCTAAAGTATGAATCCCTGTTGTCCTAAGACTGGGCCTCAATATACCAGATGACTTGTTTTTAACCTAATAAAAAGCCTTGTTTTTCCTGAAGAAGTGTAAGGAAGTTTTTGTCACACCCTGAATACAACAGAAGGTGCAGCTCCAGTAGCAGGTGTACAGAACACCTCTGGGCAGGGTCATCATACACGTTGAAACTCTATTTAAATCCAAGTCACTTGAGATCTTTCCTGCTGCAGCTAAGAAACTGTATCTGCCACATGTTATCTGCATGATTTTGACTTCATTTGAAAGGTATTTACTACATTTCTGGTGAACCATAATCTACATTTGGAGTGTAACAAGTCTCAAGATGAACTTTGGATGATGTACTGCCTATTCAGCTTTCTGTGAAAGCACATTTTTAAGCATATTAGGTAGGGTTTGGATGGTCCTGGTACTGATGTGATATCAACTTCATAAACATATATTACTTCAGAAATGCTATATGGATCGAGGAAATAAAGATGTTACTACTGAGCCATTGAGTCTTTATTGTGTCAAATATTTCATTGTTCCAGATAACTGATGCAGCGTAGACTGAAAGACATACCAGGGAGGAAGAGAACAAAGCATGCACATATTTCACAGTAATACTAGAGTACAAATTTTTTTGAGGAAGAAAAATCAGTAGTTATATTGTGATAAAAATATCAGAGCTTTTTAAAATGTTCTATAACTACCTGGTTATATGTCTCCTGAATAATAACTGGAGTTAGTTTCTTGTATAGTAGTCACATAGAGAGACTGTTATCTCCTGCCAGAGATTGAGAGCCAGCACAGTCTTTAAATACTATTATTATTTTAAAAATCAGGGGATATAATCCTTTGTGTTTTCAGGATTAATTTCTGAAAATTAATTTCTGAAAAATTATTTTAACAAGTAGCTCCTAACAGGAAAAATCATTTTCAAAACACAAAGTGGAAAGCAGAGTTTTACAGATTAACCTTTTTACAGATTTACCTTTGCACTATATTTTACAGCCAGACAGGATTCCTTTTTAGTAGAAATAAGTGGTCTTTATAACTATCTATTAATCAGCCTGGCTTACCCACATCCATGACTACAGTTATCTACTTTTTCTTTCCTTCTGCTTAACAAGAAAGAAACTTGTACTTGTCGCAGCCCAGATTTGTCTCTGAACACACCTCATTATATTCCTGTGAGAACAGCTAATTTAATTTTATTCCTGAAACACTCAGGACCAGCTTGCAACCACTTGGAAACTGCAATCAAGAGCTATAGTCAAGCCCAGGTGTCAGTTCAATCAGGAACCAGCCAGATTTGCAGAAAGTTGCCCTTTCCTATGCCTGAGAGATGTAAAATCTGAGCAGGAATGTTTCTGGAGCCATTAAGAAAATTTTTCTTTTCCAATTTTAGCTGTGAAAAAGTGTCTTGCTGGGGATTGACTAGATTTGGTAGTAAGCAAGATGGATGACAAAGTTACCAAAGCTTACCTGTTTTGATGAGATTGGTTAAAATGCCACATACAAAGGGGGTTTGTTAATGAACAGGACTGGTTATGACCTTATCAAAAAAGAGATTTTACTCTAGCATTTGTTTACTGGAGCTGGTCCAGACAGCAGTCACTACAACTACATGCACAATCTAAGAAATATGTGGAAAAGGAAAGAAAGAGAAAACCTAAGAGTCCTAATATTCGGTGCATATATAATGGTGTATTTATATAGTACTTTCATTTAGTTTATATTATCATGGTTGGCCACGCTACAAATAAATTCTTGGTGCAGTAGGGAAACAACTTCTTATGTCTCTGTTGCAAGAATATATGTAAGATGTTTCTTCACCTAGAAACCCAAGCACTTTGCAACTCCTCAATTTATTTCACTGCAACCAAGTATTCTTTTAAAATATGTTGAAAGAAAGGAAACTGCATCTGCATATAAAAGACATAATATACCTACCATTAATCCATTCTACACTATGGCACAAAATCCTACTAACTTTAAATATTTGAGACAGGAACTATATTAACTATGTTGGATGTAGTTCTGTCTTCATTCTTATTTTTTTCCTCAGCTTTGCACTGTAAATTAAAGCCAATGTCACCATTCAGACAAAATGAATCCTTATGGTTGCTACAGATATGTTTCTGAAGTAGAAACTGAACATTAAAGCTGAAAAACTTGGTCTTTTTTTTTTTTTCTTCATAGGCCATAGTTTTCCTTGAACAACTTGTAAACACAATTTATGCTCTCTTAACTAGCTGAGTCCTTTTTACTGGGCTTCAGCAGTTTAAGGAACATATCTAGAATGTTTTTAGGGTTTTTTTTAGGAATGCAATCTTCTTGTATAACAGAAATATTTTGGGCAAGAAAACCAAAATCTAGCTGAAAGAAGGGATAGCAGGAAGAAAGAACCACCCCTCTGACCGGTACCTCACCTTCTCTTTGGTGAGAAGACAAAAGGAGAATTAAAGTGGAATTTAAAGTGGAATTTAGGGAAGGAAGCTGTGAGCAGGCAGCTCAATATACAGACTCCTTGGAGGTAGACTATGTAACTTTTTATAAAATACCTCAGTATTTTCTGTGCCTAGATTGTATCAGAGAACTAAGTTTCTTGAAAATTTGGAGAAAAGGAAAAAGATGCCTTTGGACAAAAAGAAAAAAAAAGTGTGAGAAAAATTCCAAACTTTGCTAGGTTTGCTCTGAAAAGAGGTTGTAGCCAGGTGGGATTCAGTCTCTGATCCCAAGTAACAAGTAACAGGACAAGAAGGAAACATCCTAAAGTTGTGCCAGAGAAGGTTTAGATTGAACAATAGGAAAAATTTCTTTGTATAAAGGGTGGGCAGGCATTGGACCAGGCTACCCAGGGAAGTGGTGAAGTCACCACCCCTGAAGATACTTAAAGAACATGTGGATGTGTGGCACTTGGGTACATGGTTTAGCGGTGGCCTTGGCACTGTTAGGCTGACAGTTGGACTTGATGGTCTTAAGGGTCTTTTCCAGCCTAAATTATTCTAGGATTCTTTGAGTCTATAGCTCAGGTCCAGGGTTAGCTTTACTGACTCCTCTAACTCAAGCATTTGTCATTTATATGTGTTGTTTACCCACTAAAGAGAAAACGTAATTAATAGGCAATCCTCTGAAGTATCCCACACTTGGGAAGAAGCTGATGTACTTATTTCAAAACCACACTGTTAACTAAAGACCTCCTTAGGGGCAGCCCTTTGTATGCTACACACAAAAAGGGTTTGTAACGTGAAGATTGGGTGTCTTGGCTTCTTGGGTAGAACTGCACAGAGGCTTTTGCTTCTGGAAGTCTAGCTTAGAGCTACTTACTATATTACAGTGAAATCATAAAGGGAATATAACCACACACTCAAATAAGCAAAAAGAAACACTGTTGCAGAACTTATTATAGAGCAATGGTACTGCTAAACTTAACAGTTTGGCTCTAAGTTCTTCTTGTCAGCCTTACACAGTCTCTAGAAATTCCTGTGAAGCTGGGATGCATCATGCTTTAGGGGCATACTGCTAGCTCCAGTTCACAGGTGGATAAAAAAAATCACCTGGAAGGGATTCCATTGAGTTCACAAAAAATTTTGTTATTTTCTCACAACTGATTAACAGGCTAGTTCTTGCTCAAAAGCAAGATATGTGTTTGGATAATTCATTATATAAAGAAAGAATTTAAAAATATTAATTTCAAACATTTAGCACCATCAGTTTTGGGGCACTGAGCCACATATGTTAACAATATGTTAAACCATAATTTTTGATCTGAGTTTTAATTAGATTATTCTTTCAGCTTATTTGTATGCTCATGACTTCTTGTATTACAGAAGTGAGTGAAAAGGAAGTTAAGTATATATTCCCTGTTACAAATATGCTTTTAGGTACACATTTGGTACCTTCATTGAATAGTTGCAGTACTTCATATTAGTGGAGCACTCAAAGTTAGTATTGAAGAGCTGGGAGAGACAAAACATAAATCTGCACTTTTATAATTTATGTTCTCCCCTTTGATAAATTAAGTAGTTTGTTAGATTAAAACTCTCTCTAACTGCCTTGCACTATGAGCTCTCAGAGTTTTGTACATATAATGAATGCAATGTAAGATATTCCATGTTTGGCTCAGTTTCTCACATTAATATGGTTTCATCAAGTCCACACTTTCCCCTCACACCACCTAGGAGACAAAGACGAAAGAAACACTCCCATTATTTCTCTAGCCCATGGTATCTGGAAATGTAGAGAAAGTGCTTATTTCCTTCTGCCTCTGTCTCTCATAAACTCAAGTCGGCTGTCCAAAAAGTGGCACAGGCTTGGCCCTCAATGTCATCAAACAGCCAGGCCAGTTTGGATCAGCTTCAGTCCAACAAATTCAGCCTTCTGCTGGATCAAGTGTCCTAGCTCTGAAATGACCCTGGGCGTGCACAGTGTGTTGGGAACCACACAGCATAGAACCACAGAATAGTTTGGGTTGGAAGGGGCCTTCAAAGGTCATCTAGTCCAACTCTTTCGAGCATGCAGGCCAACAAAACCTCTGGCAGCACCCCTAAATCCTGCAGTCCTCTCAACAATGAGGTTTTAATAAACCGGATTAATCACACCTTTCAAAGGCACCACCTCTGCTACTTTCTCTGCTGAAGATTTGTTCACATTTTCACTGTTCTCATCACACCCATGAAGTGAGGTGTCAGCCAACTCGCAAGGCCCCTAGGCGAGTGTACTGTTAGATTCAAGATGTAGATTCTGCCTCACTTTTTCTTTTACACATTTCCCTTAACTTTTAGCCTGTGTAATGCAATCAAAACAACATTGCCATAATACTTCTTTCCTTTTCTGAATTTAAATTTCCATTTGTCACACTACTTAAATGAAGACACTGTAAGTTTTTTTAATCCAAAGCAGCTCCAAATAGGGGAATTAGCACTTCAAGCCTTTTTAGAACGCATGTATACACTTAACACATGAAAAAGGAGTATGCCATGTTAGCTTTTTATTATTCTGTAGAGTACTCTATTATCTTGACATCTGAAATGCATTCAATTAATTGAATGAATGAAGTCTCACTGTAGGCACCTCTGCTATGGTTTTACAGAAGATGAACGTCAGAAATGGGCTAGTAAGATCATTGTCTTTTGTAATGACATTTATACCTTTAACACCTATTAATGCGTCCCTGCCTGTCACCTCATGCTCTGGCAATCATTGAATATGGATGTTAGACAGGCCATGCACTGAAGAGAAAACTATACTGGGACAGAAAAACCTCTGTGTCAGGCAAGAGAGCATGGACAGAGGGTGTGCACAGAGGGCCAGAGCCAGCACAAGGGAAAAAGACCAGGATGATGGGGGCAGGAGTGGGGAGGAAGGAATGAACCAAGTAGGTGAGCTCCAGTGATCATGAGGCAGTGAGCTCCATCTCAGACTGATGTACAAAAAGCTCAACAACTTCAAGTGGCTCCAGAACTGGCTGAATTCACATGTGAAGTCTGAAATAATAATAATGTACTTAACCTGTTGTTAATTTCCCAAGACATCATGTTCTTCTATCTTCGTGATACGAGGCAGAGTGAATATTGCTTTCCTCCAAAGAAATTATGCTCATTTACCAGTAATTGAAATCTAGTGAATATTGTTTTCGGGCTTGTAATTGGGGATTTTGTACTCTTCAAATTACTGCCATATCTGTCACTCAAGGAAACTAAATACTTTGAAATACATTAGTGAAATACAGCAATTTATCACTTAAAGCACTGAAAAAGAAATTTAAAAGATGATGTTTAAGTATCCATTAGCAGATAGTAAGACTTTAGTATTTCATGTGATGATGCTATCTTCCTGACTTTTCCTCTAAAAAACATTTATTTAGGTCTCCTCAGACTTGAGATTTGGTAGATTTCCAGTTCAATGAACTATGGATTTCCACAGCTGTAGTACCATACACTACCTAAATCATGGGAAAGATTGGTGAAAATAATTTAGGGAATGCCTCAGGATGAAAATCAAAACACATCCAAGCAATTGGTTTTTATGTCACTGAAATACCTAAAATCATAGAATTTACAATACCCAACAAGCATATAATGAAACATACATAATTGTCATAAAATAAATCCTGATTATAAATCAAACTCTAAAACTGGTGAAATAAAAATCTGCTTGTTATCTATTGTTCTTCATAAAATGGCAATTTAAAAAAAGAAAGGCAAAGTCATCCTTCAGAAATGCTTTGTACTGGGAGAATATTGATAGAATATGACTCTTCTCCCACAGTGAAACAGAAACATGAATCTCAGGGGCCCCATTCTGTAAGATATGGCTGTGGTCATCTGAAGTTCACTGTCCCAACTGGTATAATCCTCCTTGCTTGGGCCCTTTGTTGCATTCAAGAAGGGATTGGAGGAAGTCCCTGAAATGGAGACGGATGGAAAGTCTCCCTCCCAGGCTGGAATAACATTGTCCATTTCACCTCTCCTTCCCCTGATAAACCCCTACCCAGAGCAGTTGTTAGGCCAGGGCTGCCAACAGTGCCTTTCTGTACACCAACAATTGTTTTTCCCCCATCCTGGCAGCTCTGAAGATAGTCCAGCCTCAGGCTCAAGGTGGGAAACACAGGGTCATACCTCTCTGAGTCTGCAGCCGCAAGAAGAGGTATCTGGGGAGGATGCAGAGGACTGCCCTGTATGTTATGTCCTGGAGAAGAGTGGCTGCCAGGGTGGGACAAGGACACTGCCCCAGCTGCTGTTCCACTTTGATTTATCTGTGTGCTGGGGATCCCAGCTGCTGAAAGTAAAAGAGAGAAATGACGCTCATCAGGCAGGAAACAACACTAATTGAAGAGCATCTTTGACTTACTATCATCAAATCAGTACTCTTAAAAACAATTTCTGCCACCAAAATACCTCTTCTCTAATTACTGACATTATGAATTTGGAGTAGGGCTGAGAGTTCTTACCATGTAGATTAAGACAGTGTGAAGGTTTAATTTTGTAGCTCAGTTAGTTGCATACATATATTTGCAAGGTTGTTGTTTTTCTTTAAATTACTAAATATAGCTTTCTATTTCTGTAAGGAATATTTATGAGCTCCTTGACAATAACTGATTTACTACTGCACAGAAAGAAAAATATGAAATAGTTTTTGCACTTGGAAGCATCACTTGCATATATTCCCCTCTTTCACTTTCCATAGGAAGTCCACACTTCCCTACAGGATTTTGTAGCCAGAAATATGTGGATATGTGTTGCATTGAGTTGTAAGTGGTAAGCCCAGCAAATGAGAAACCTATCGTCTGTTTTACCTTTATCCTCAGCTCATCTGTAAATCTGAAGTCTCCAGAGAACATGAAACTCAATAAACCATCATGCATTAAGAAGTACAGTAGAAGTAAAAATTGCATTTTCAAGGTAACAAGCCAGTCTCCAAAGTTAATCTGTCACATGGACATCTGCACTGATGGCCATTCTATCTCTTTTCAGGTATTTTGCAAGCCGTATCATAGATACTGGAAAACATTAAACTACTGACGCAATAGAGCAGGGTCTGGAGTAGTATTTTAAGCCATTCCTAGCATGGCATCTCTAGATCACATCCCTGCCTTTCATTTTCTTCTCTTTCAGTGGGCTGCAGTTTCTGAAGTTCAGTCTCTTCATAATGAATGGAGCTATAAATGGTGCAAGTGGCTGTGCTGCTTACAATGTTTGTTGCAGTCCATTGGTAAATGCTCTTAAAAATGGGAACCCAAGCATTACAGCAGTTTTTGGAGAACCATTAAGTTGTCTTAAAACAGAAATTATAAACTCATAAGCAAAACTGGTAAATAAAAGGGCAAGTCTGAGGGGAAGCAAACTATCCTCCTTACACTAAGATAATTTTATTAACACATTTTTGCCTCCTGCAATGTGTGTACAGTCCTACCTTGGACTACACAATAATCAGGAGTTCTAGATATGTATGCAATAATTCATCCTAAAAGGTGAAAAACAGAGATCCTCTTCATTATTGGTAGTCCTACATTACTGTTCCTTTTGCATCCATTCTGTGTGCATCGAATAAAATGCTGTTCTTCACAGAAAGGGCCATTCATGTGTCAGCTCTTCCTTCTTGTTCTTGTTTTTTTCTTACAGGAATGAGCTGTAACTACTTTCCAAGACTGTCACCCTTAACAAACTACTTTTTAAAGAGAAAACAGACCACTTTTTTCCAAAAAAAATAGATTGCTTTTTTTCAGACATCTCTTAGGGACTCAGTAGGACAACTGCTTTAATAAAATTTAAAATAATAAAATTCTTTCATTAATTAATAATTCCTGTATGTGTCCTTATCTTCTACCTGCCTTTTGTACCTATCTACTTTCCTATTATGACCTTATATACAAACTTGTGGGGGAATGGATTGTTTCTTATTCTGTGCACAAGCCTAGTACTATTTCAGTGGGGTAAAAAAACCCAAAGAAAAGTGCTGCTCAAGAAAAGCACAGCAAGTCATTCTCATAGGTCAAAGTTTCACAATACAGCACAGGACATTATTCAAAAAATACTTAGAATTCAAATAAGTTTTGTAATTTTACTGAGACAATTTTTAAATTCCAACTTGCAAAGAAAATCATGCACTTGACAAGCATTAGAGCTTGGTCTGGAGCAGAGCTTATTGTGATATTCAGGAACTACTTATAAATTAATTACACATTCTGGTTTATGCTTAAATATGAAATGGTCAAGTTTTATCCAAACAGCAGAGTAAAAAGATGTGTTTTTTGTCTGCTGCATTATTTATGGTTCTTCCAGTTTTAGTGATTCTAGATTGCTGTATACAAAGTAATTTCATAGTATTTCACAGTAGAAAAAAAACTTCATCACCTTCTTGTTATTATGAGTACATTGCTCACATCTTCATTCTGTGACCCAAGTAAACCCAAATGCCTAGGTACTGCTCAAAATTAAAACCTAGGTACTATCACAGTGCTCAGCCCTTAGTCTGTCTGCCTGCTTTAGACCCATAAATGTAATTTTATGTTAGTTTTAAGCAAAGACTGTGTCATGCTACCTTACTGTATTAGTAAGATTATAGTCTACTCTTCTATGAAGTCACAAAGACTACAATATAAGAAAAAAAACTTTTGGAGGCTTAACTCCAAGTAAAAGATGTGTAATCCAAAAGATTATTGTGGTATTTCATTTAAATGTGTCTGTGTTTATAGATTCTGTATTTTAACAGTACTGGCACTCTATACAGTGATCACCACAAGAAAAAATGAACCTGCATCTAAACATACACTTTTGACATTTCTTACATATTTCTAATAGTTTGCTTTCAAACATTTATTCTGTGGACTTCTTCTACAAGAAAAAAGCCTACCTTTGCTTTACATGTGCATCAATAATAAGTGAAGTCACCTTCAAGTAAGAAAAGTTTGATTGGACACCACGGGAGGAATGAAAATCTATTCCTCCTTCTACTTTAAAAGTAGTACAGAGACATTTTAGCTAATATGCTGTCTCAAACAGTACCCAGTAAAAATAATGTATTTAGTTTTTCAGAAGTCCCAAAGCTGTTAACTATATTTACAAAAAACAAAAAAATAAAAATTAGTGAATTTTGAAGGGTAGCTTCTCTGAGTCAAGACACTTATTTTTTTGTGTATTTTACTTTTCTCTCTATGGGACATGAATAATTTTCACGCTGCCATTTCAATAAAATAATTCCCTGCCTTTTGGAGTTATCTCACTTGTTCGCATAGTATATTATCCTGTTAATGAATCAATTTATTTCAATTATTCACTGGATTAGGTAGTTGCCAGAATGGAGTGACATGGGTTGATCTATACCTGACATAATACCCTCAATTAACTGATGTGAAACAACACAAGTGAATAAAACTATGAGAAATCTGAGAAACATGATTTCAAGTTATAGATACTTGACAACACATGCAAGAGAAAGCCAATTATTACTTACACAGAAATTAATGCTGATAAGAGTACGTTGAATAATTACCATAAACATTAACTTATAAAAATTGCCATACAATAGAAAGCAGTGCCAGGAAAGAAACTACCACAATAAAGTATAATATCAGAGAATGTTCATAGTTAGTAGTGCTGCAAACATCAAGTACTGAATGAATGCATGAATGAGACTACAGAAAGTAATGTCTCAGTCTCAGAAGCTGTCTATGAGACATCTCGATGGCAGACAACTGCCAGCTGAGGGCTGGCTGGAGGCAACAGCTTTACCCAGCTTCTCATGGGCAGCAGCTTGTTCAAGCCACTGTCAGCCTGTGCTTGGACTGACCCAGCAGACAGAACTGGACTTTTAACCATAGTCTGGAAGCTAGGGAGGAGAGCTCAACAGATTGCTGTGGCAATCTCCTGTGAGAATATCCTCAGTGTCTGAAATCTGACATACTGCCCCATTCCATTCTGTCTAGGAGCTTGAAAAGAAAAGGAAATGCTTTCTTTATTATCCCTCAATTTTGTATATTACACTTGGTGAAACCACTAAATAATTTTTTTAAAATCTCAGCATTCCTTACTATCCAACTCCCTCTCAATGTACAATGTAAAATAAACAACTATAACCAGCTACATGTTCCCAGAGTTTCTCTGGCCAAAATCTCATTTTTAAAGTCTGAAATTTCCCTTTTCTTTCACGCAGCAAATGTCACTCTCAATCTGTACTCAAACTAAGGTATTTAAAAGTTAACAGCATACAAGCAATACCAACTACTTAATAAACTAGAATGCACTCAAACACAGCTTTAAATATCCTGATTTTTGTTTTATAAACCTACATCATCACTAACTATTGTGTGACTCACAGCAGCCTTGACAAAAACATGCAATAGAATTGACAGCTTTACAAGCCTGTCAGTAAAATAAAACCACTTATTGAAGCGGACAATTCATATAATGTAATTTTCATCACTGCAGATAACATCAATGAAGCCAATTCATTCACTTCCTAATCTGGTTCTCACTTAAAATTTGAAGTGATAAAAGATGTAATGCATGCTGCCTGAAAGTTAAAAACAGATGCACTCACAACTACTAAAATACTGCATTAAAAAATACTAACATCCTGCCCATTGCACTCTTGAGCTTTAAGGTTTATTATCACACATAGATTACCAATTGTTTCAAATTTATTTGAAATGTTAACAAAAATTGTAAATGTAGGCAGGTATGGCAAAGGTATTTTAGTAGGAAAATCTCAGATATTTAACTGAATAAAATAGGATTATTACATTCATAATGCAAATGTGTTTATTGTGTGTTTGTAGTCAAAATATGTGAACTCATAATGCAGCATTTCAGTTCCTTAATGCAGATCAATTGAAAAACTGATATGTGATCCATGAATAAGTCAGAGGAAAAATACAGTGATTTTAAAAGAAGCTTAATGTATTCAAGATGTGTACAAAGAATGGTAGAAGTAAATTGGTAGCAGAATCAAATACCTATAAAGCAAAAATATCCATCTATGTTGCATGAGGTCTTTTCATGGGTATAGTACGATATTTTCTGCTTCCCTCCAAAAAACATAGAAAAACATGTTCAAAATCTATCTTTTTTTAATATTACTTATCATATTCTGTATTCTTATGAAATAGATATGGATTTCAGAGTACATTCTACTCTACAAAATGATCCCTAATATTAAAGTGAGGAATTATACAGCGGATTTCTATCTGTCTTTTTCTATACCTGGGTAAATATCACAAGCAGGCTCTGGGGAGTGTCCCACGGTATTATCTACAGCACCATGTGGTGACAGGGCTGGCTGGAGGGGCTGGATTGCAAGGCAGTCATTCAGGATGTCCTGGCCAATCTCTGAGCTTGATCGCAACTGAAAAACAAGGGATAAAAAGGGAGAAATTATAACAAAACATGGACATGGACAAAAGAAAGGAAATAATCACAAAAATCTTTAAGACAGTGAAAAGTTATAATAAAGAAGTGTTGAGGTTAGAGAAAGAGATGAAACACCATCAGAAATCTTCTCTTTTAAATCCTCATTAATACCATCCTTTCATTCTAGCAGGCACTTTTTGAATCTGAGGAAGAAAACACTTCCAGATACTTGACAAGACTGTTCTTACGACAAGGACTACTTGTACAGGTAGGATCTTGGACAGAAGGACTTCAGTGTGCTCTTTTGTCACACACTGCAAAAGAGAGGAGTTGCCTAATAAAGGGGTGTTGGAGATTTATCAAATGCCTGACATTGCTTATATCAGCAGAGGAGTTCTATAATAAATACAAGTATTTTCATGCTGGTTCAGTGCTCTGAACTGCCTCACCTCAGGACCAGAAGAGCAAAGGTGCTCATGACACTGGAAATGAGGGACTGGGAACAAACAGCAGGAGAGGTAATATACAGGCAAGTCAGGATGGAAATAGGACCGCTTCATATGGACTAAAGTTTTCTTGAGACCCCATTCCTAAACAGACTAGGACTAGGGTTAGCTAGCTGCATGCATGGCCATTTCCATGGTACCTGATCCACCCAACAGCAACTCTGTTAATCTGGCTGACCACCAGAAAATTCACTCTACAAACAATTAATACACAAATTCATAACCAGAGCTTTCCTTTGGATGAAACTGGATGGAGAGTCTCAAGGTGAGGCTGCAATAAAATACAGTAAAAAACTACAATTTTAAAAAAATCACAGTACCAAAATAAGGAAAAGGGAGAAGATCTGCTGCAGCACCCTAACAGGGTTGGTAGAGCTGTAATGCCAAACTGCAGCCTGAGGTTTAGGGCAGGTTATGGATGTTGCTGCAGGCTGCTGGGACTGATGCCTGTCCTGATCTGCCGCCTGATGTTGATGTTACATTTAACAAAAATTTGTCTGTTCCTTAAAGTCATTTTAGCTGGTGTATTCATTTAAAAGCCTGGAAAATGAAGGTGTGTGCTTATAAACATGTGGCTACTGCAGTGGCTGAGATGCCCATAAATATCCTGTCATGTCATCCAGATTTGTGCAGCATGATGGAAAGAACCCTGAGCTGGTGCTCTTGGATGTGCTGCACTTTCCCAAGAAGTAAATCTCACAGAGGCCACTGAGGCTTCTCTCTTGTTTGGTGCCAAGGGGGGTGAGCAGGTAACAGTTAACTAGAACATAGCCTAGCACCCCTAAAAAACTTGTAAGGGGAGAAAGACGAACAAGACAAATTTCTGCACATACTGTACTTAGGAATTAATCACAGAACAGTTTTAATTTGAAGGAACTAAGTTGCAACACCCCTGCCACAGGCAGAGACGTTCTGCTAGATCAGGCTGATCAGAGCCCCATCCAACCTTGCCTCAAACACCTCAGGGATGGGGCAAATGGAGAACAAAAGAGCAAGAGGAAACAATTCTGAACACAAGCATAAGAAGACCCATTGCCACAAGATGATCCCTTGTGCCACAAGTTGGTGATAAACATTCAAATTGCTGTAAAGCCATGGCAACTGGGTGGAGAGTTGGTGTTACACATCATAAGCACCTGACCCTGTATCTGGAGACACTACATAGCCTGTGATACCTATGCACACACTCTGCACAATGGAGACTCCTTCTCTTAAAAACTTTGCCAGTCACTATTAAGCCCAAAGGTACACTACCTCTGCAAGGTACATTTGTTATTCTAACATTGAAGGAAGGGGGAGAGTGAATGGGGAAGAGGGAGAAGGGAAGAAATACCCTGACAAATTATTTTGTTTATTGTCCATTTTTATAATCTGTTATAAGTACAAACATTTCTTCGACTTCGGCACATGTCATTGTCTGCTATAATCCAGTAATTGTGCTAGGTTTGCTGCTATCACTAGTAATATAGCTTTTGCTATATATGCAACTCAGTGAAATTAAATGTCAGTGAAATTAAATGTCAAATACATCCTCATTCAAATCCTTACAGTTACATTATTAATAAGCCTTATGTGAATTTAAATTTCTATGGAATCTAAAGTGAATATAATATGAAAAATCTGACTTCTATAAAAGAATCAGGATTCTATCATACAGAATACACAATCACAGAAGTTGCCTGTGTAAAATTGTCAGAATATTTTTTTAAGAAAAGATCAATTTTCTATATCAGATAGCATTCAAGGATAAAACAGTAAGAAAAACAAGAAAAGGAGAGCTAAGTATTTACACATTAGTTACAAGAATTCAGTAATTCCTGTAAAATAAAATAGGCTACCATCTATTTCACAGATTTTTCTAATTTGCTCTGTTCAGGAATCTTGCATTCACAAATAATTCGATATTTAGAACTAATCTATCTCGACAACCTGTGTTGGCATAAATCTTCCGGTTTTTCAAAACTTATTAAAATGAAGAAAACCTAGGATCATCAATAGAAAACCAAAAATAGAGAAAGAAACATAGCTGTGATCTGGTTTCTGAGGATAGTTCTTATTTTATGCATTGGCTATTGTCAATAAGTATTTACAATCACAAGGGCTATAAACTTACACATGCATACATACGTGTAAAAATATGTATCAAAACATGTAATATATGTATATAATGTGTCCTTTTAGAATTACCATGTATGTATTTAATGAACAAATGATGAAAAATACCCTGAGCAAGAGGTGGATATTCCACTGTCTTGTGCAAGAGCAGATGCACACTGCTAATTCAAATTGCCACTAAAATACTACCACAGGCCTTCCAAACAAACTCTCCCCAGTTAACAGATGCTGGGAATAAATTTGCTGTCCCCTGCTGCAAGGCATGCCTGTAATTTGTTCTTTAAGAGTAATTTCTGTGGTACTGGAAAGAGGAGAGCAAGGGCTAGAGCGGCCTTCCCCACTCTACTCCTCGACCAGAAATGGGAAAAGTTCCTTCAGCAGAACCAGCCATTAAATGACAACTGTTTCCCAACCAGAAAACTCCATTTCCCACCATTACTGTTTTCTCTTAACAGAGGCAGTAACAATGCTTTCTTTGATTACTGCTCTTCCTTCGTCCACCGTTTAAAGCTCATCCTCCTTCCAATGTTTTTCCAGATCTTTTCTCTGAAAGGAGACGAACTGTGGCATTTTTGGAACAAAATAGAGGGAAAAGCACAGATTCTGGTTAAAATATAGTTGACCAAGGCATTTCTTTTTCCTGTAAAGACACTGAGGGTAAAAATCCACTCTATCTCAGTCAAATATTTTTACATATTTCACAGAAAACTTGTAATTAAAATTTTTAACTGAAAGCAACCCCTTGCACTTTGACAAATGCAGGGAAATCAGTGCTGTGGTTCTTCTTTAGTATGTCAAGAAACACAGAACAGACAATGAAATGAAAAATGATCTTAAAACCAAGCAAAACCCATGAACCATCCACTGTAACTGTACAATTTTATCTTCAGTTTAAAAACTATAAAGGAGAAATAATAATTGACCAGCTATAACTGCTGCCATCCATTTCTTGCTCTAACAACACTATCATTTCTTTTCCAGCCTGGACTGTAGACTTACCATCCAAGTGCAAAAGGAAGCTCACACTCATTTGACTTCCATTTGGATCATATCCCAGCACAGATCTCCCAGCACTGTGACTGAAATAAGTCACTTGCCCATGATCATCTTGCTTCTCTCATGATCACTCAGATGAGCACCAGTACAATCACGCTGAGACTAAAAACTTGGCAATCTGTTTTTAAGAACTATATGGTTATAAAGTTACCTCACTGAGTGGTGAAATCAATAACTGACAAGTCTGCTATACTGAGCACAGCCATTTTCTGTGTGCTGTAATGTAACCTAAATTTATGGCTGACCAAAGCGCAAGTTAACAATCAATTTCTCTGCTCACTTAAAACTCCCCTGTATTTGATAGTTGTTCCAAATAATAGTTTTTTTGAATTTAATAGCTCAATTTTATGGTAAGACTTGTGAAGTATTGTATTTGGAAATACAGAAGCACTTCCATTATCACAATGTCGCAATTTTTTATAATAAACAACAGTCATGGTTTACAACTGTTTTACTTCTGTGACAATCAGCTAATGTTTATCGCCTTTCAGAACAATGGATGGAAATTCTACTCCTGTACATTTTGCATATGAATAAATAATTACCCAAATTAAATGAAACAAGCAGAAATAATTAGGAGTAAGATTCTTATTCCTTAGTTTTCAATTTCATTATATTTGAGTTCAAAAGCAGAGGCGTGCTGTTGATTTGATGCATGATGTAATCCCAGAGAAAACGTCTCCTAACAAGAAAAGATTTTTTTTTTCATTTTTCTCTCACCAATGTGTGTTTTATCTGAGATCTGCATGCTTTTGTACCACCTGACTAGTTTCTTCAGCATTGGTCCTGTACAAGAGAAGTCAGACACCATCAAGGAAAACATATGATAAGTGTGTTTATGAATACACTTTATAAGAAAAGAAGCCATGTAGCTTGAGAAATCCTAAACCACACAAAATAGTAACTTCAAAACCTGCCTGTACATATTCAGAATAATTTGATTAATTCTTCAGCAAAGTTTAGACTCCAGTCATTCACACATGCCAGTTATCTCATCAAATTGTAAAATTTTAAATCTTGCTTACATTAATGTGTGCTTAATATACATGCATGTTGTGCACCTAGTAAAGTATTTACATATGTGAGACATTAGTTACAGTCTATTTATTCTTATGCAGGTTAGATATGATATTTTTATGCATGTCTAAAACCAGCAAAAAAAACAAACCCTAAATACTGGTATGTTTAATTGACAGAAATTTTTTTACACTAACTGTAGTAGTTCTATAGATGTGTTTTGTTTTGAGTGTAAAGACAAGGAAGAATTTCTGCTATAGTCTGTGTACTGAGTTTACTAATGTCAATTACAGAGTAAGTC